ATGACTCCAAGATCCTTTTCTGCCTCTGCACTGAGGAGAAGGGAGTTCCCCAGTCCGTAGGTATGGTGCTGGTTCTTCCTCCCCAGGTGCAGCACCCTGCACTTGTCAGTGTTGAATCCTGTCCTATTCTCATCTGCACCCACATGAAAAGGGCTATTCTCTAGGAACTCTATTCTAGGTTTGCTGGGGCTAGAGATCAAAGCCCTGAGGGCATGACCTGGAAGTAGCACAAGCCGGAGAGAGGCATAAACAATGGGGTGGGGGAAAGGGACACTCCGGGTACTCAATGAAACCTGGGAAACAAACTGATTTGGAAGTCCTCATGCAGTCACGGAACTATGACGTGATTGAAACAACAGGCTTGGTGGGATAACTCCCATGGCTGGAGCACTGTCATGGATTGGTATAAACTTAAGGACAGACAGGAAGAGGAGAAGCAATTCCTCTTTTATGGTAAAGAATTATTGCTGAGCGCTCCAGTATGAAACTGGAGACAGGCCTGTTGAAAGTCTAAGTTAGGGTCAGATGGGAGAGCAACAACGGTGATGTGGTTGATGTCTGTTGTAGACTACCAGACCAGAAGGATGAGGTGAATGAGGCTTCCTTTAAACAGCTAGCAAAAGTTTCCCAATTGCAGGCCCTGGTTCTCATGGGGGACTTCAGTCACCCTGACATCTTCTGGGAGGGCAGTACAGCAGTACACAGGCAACCCAGGAAGTTTTTGGAGAGTGGTGGGGACAATGTGATGCAAGTGCTGCCAAGGCCATGCTCTTGATTGGCTGCTCACAGAGCCAGGAGCAATGGCCTCAAGTTGCAGCAAGGGAAGCCAAGGTTAAATATTAGGAGAAACTTTCTCACTAGGAGGGTAGTAAAACACTTGGAACAGGCTACCCAGGGAGGCTGTGGAATCTCCATCCTTAAGAGGTTTTTAAGACCTGGGTAGACAAAGTGTTGGCTGGAAGCATCTAGTTGGGGCTGGTCCCGCTTTGAGCGGGGACTTGAACTAGATGTGATCTGAAGTCCCTTCCAACCCTAATATTCTATGATTCTATTCTTTAATAGAGATGTTCACTGCATACCACTGTGTATGACCAGAACTTCGGTCTTGTACTTTTTTGTGATTCTGTTGCACCCCATCTTTCAAGGGGCTGACTTATGTCTTTGAACAAATAAAGGCTTTATCTTAACTATGGGATGTCAAATTTGTATCGAGCAAATGACCAAAATACATTTTAATGACAATCTGTGACCATGTCAAGAAGCGTACCCCATGGTCTATAACTGATTCCCTGACAGAGGAAGTAAGAGATGTGGACTAAATGTGCAGCTATTGCACTCTGAATTATCAAAGGGATTGTTATGTTCAGCAGTACACTGGAATATGCTCTTCTTTGACGTGTGCTGTAGCCATTTTGGTTTGTTCAAAATGGTGTAACTATTTTCAAAATCACAAAAATGTGAAGATTTCAAGAATAACTTACTATACTATTCCCTAAACTGTACTCAAATGCTTAACAGCAGGATAAAAAATTTCAATGAAACAGCATTTTTTAAGTTTCTTGAAGGAAAAAGACCAACATTTTAGTATGAACAAGAATGGTGGCAGAAGAAAGAGCACCATTTTAATAACAAGAGCATAAGCCATAGTTTAATTTACC